CTCTCTCTCTCTCTCTCTCTCTCTCGGTTGCTTGCGCCTTTTCCTGTTCTGCCCTTACAGAACTTCAACAAACAATACTCTTGGCAAGCAAGCTTGAAGGACTGGTGAAGAATCTGTCGGGCCAGAATCACAGTGAGAGCCCAATTCAGCCTAGAATGGAGCCGGTCGGCGGATCATCCGATTGGCTCCGGATAAGTTCTACGCATGTTGTCACGACGTACATGCACAGCCGCAACATTTGAAGAGAATGACGAGGAGGAAGAGGATGATGGCGATGATGATGAGGATGACAATGATGATGATGGTGATTGGAATTCCTTCAAGGATGAGAAAGAGGACCAGAACCTCCCGGTCGATGTGCATAAGTAAGCATTTACTTTGTAGCACGCGCTGCCATCAGTGCCATGTCAGGCCGAAGGTCGAAATGCTTTGAAACCCAATTGATCATCTCACCTTCCTCCTCCTGCATGCACACAGTTTTCAGTCTTCTTCACATCCATAACTCAGGAGCACCTCGATAGGTATCTTTCGCGGCTCAGACCAGCACACAATCTGCATCCTTAAGACGGCATATAATCATATATACTTGCAACTTTCTTGCAACTTTCTTGGAACTTCTTGGAACTTTCTTGGACCTTTCTTGGAATTTTCTTGCAACTTTCTTGGAACTTTCTTGGAACTTTCTTGCAACTTTCTTGCAACTTTCTTGGAACTTTCTTGGAACTTTCTTGCAACTTTCTTGGAACTTTCTTGGAACTTTCTTGCAACTTTCTGCGCATGTATCTGACCTTTTTTCCAGCTACATTACATAATATGCCATCCAAAATATAGAACAACTGCGAGTCCGCTCTTCATTATGCCGGCCCGCTTATTCTTACACGGCAGAACCATCCATCTGCTTCTGCACCTGATCTTACAGTCGGACTAGATGCCTTCCAAATGCCGAGTCCGCTCTTCATTATTCCAGCCCGCTTATTCTTTACACGGCAGAACCATCCATCACTTCTTCTCCTTCTGCACCTGATCTTACAGTCAGACTAGATGCCCTCCAAAGCTGCTGAACATGACGAAAAAGCCAGCCATGCTTGCAGAATGAATTCC